CTTGCTGATGGGGAGGGAACCTTTGGCCCAGAGAGCTCCAACTTGGTGACACTGAATGATTAAGTGTGCACGCTCCCAGTAAAGCCACACAAATCACATTATCCCTTCTTTAAGGCAGGGAGAAAAAGGGGAGCTTCAAAACAATTGAATAATTTCCTCGTGATGGGTGATGAATCAGTGAGACTCAAGAACCACCAGGGCCCTCCTCTGAAGCTCGAGGTGATCACCCACGTGAAGCTATTCATGAACAGCTTAGCAGTTCCCATTCAGAAAAATAACAGGGATCAGCTTCCCACAGAATCAAAGGGTTTGGAGAATTCTGGAAATTACTACAGTTCTACTAGAAAACAATATGCTGTGTTTCTGTAATGCCATGAAACAAATGTGCAATCTAGTGTCAAAAGGATCACTGCAGGAAAATTACCCAGTATGGTAAAGCAATAAAAGGAGGATAAAAGAGCCAAAAACAAGGAAGAGAAATACATAGAAAATACCTCTAAATTGCCTTTTTGGGCAAAGATTAAAAGAGAGCTAACTTAGCAGCACTTTATGAGAAAACCAACACCAAAAAAAAAAAAAATCCATCAAGGAAATGGCACTACTTTTGGATGGGAAAGCATCAAGATGCTTTAATGCAAATGCCATTGCTCATAGTTTAGACCTGGAAGTGATGCATCTCCCATGCACTTGAAGCTGGAAGGCAGTTCAGGGGAGGCAGGATATAATTACTTGAACTAAATCTGGCCAGGACATTTGTATTCATGTTCTGGACTCTCCCAGAAAGGTCTCGGAAGGTTTATTGGTCGAGGATGTCCCTTGGGTGGAATGCCAGCTCAGAGAGTGGAAAAAGTGGGATAGGTCAGGGCAAACATGACCTTGGGATGGGGATTCAGTTCCTTGGTGTCTGCTCTCAACTGCAGCACATCCAGGTACCAGGGATGGAGAGTCACTCTAAAATCATGGAATGGTTGGGTTGGAAGGGATCTTAAAGCTCATCTCATCCCACCCCCTGCCACGGGCAGGGACACCTTCCACTAGTCCAGGTTGCTCCAAGCCCTGTCCAACCTGGCCTTGGATACTCCCAGGGATGGGGCAGCCACAGTAAAACCCAAAATCCTACAAAGGCCTCTCAGAGAACAGTGCCTGGCACAGGTTTTTATGCAGCATAAATGAAAAATGGCTCTTTCAGCATCACTGAGCAACCTGCAGCTGTGGAAACACTGACAACAGCCAGGCTCATAAATGCTGCTCCCTTGCCCAATGAGAGGAGATGTCTCTGTGGCTTCCTCAGCTAAATCACCTCTTACTCACGGGATAAATCCTTCAAGGTGATTGTTCTTCCTTCACAACATCCTAAAGATTCATTCTTTCCTTCCCTGTGGCTCTGCAAAGGTTCAGTCCCGTGCCTGACTTATCTCCCAGCCCATTTGGATCAAGGTCACCACGTCCCCTTTGTTCTGAGGCCCTTGAAGATTTTTTTTTTCCCCCCAATTTCTTCTCTCCTTCTGTGTTCCATCCAAGCCCCTTTCCCTCTGTCCAACTTCAGCAACCTCCACCCCTGCTTGGGGTAGCACTCCCAGACCTCCTCCTTTACTGAGCCCTGTGGCTTTGGCTTGCTCTGCATCTTGGATTTATTTTAGGGCAGGATTTGTCTGGCACCCTCCATTCCCTGAGGAATTCCCTGTTCCAGGAGGTTGTCAGGCACGAGACACCACACGATGTTCCTGCATTTATTCACTGGGCAGTGATTTCTTCCTGCTTGTAGGCAGGAAGATCTTCACAGCAAGAAAATTCTGCCTGGGCACCTCCCAAATGTTTATGTGGTGCCAGCTGGTGGCTTCAGCCAGCAAATAAGAGCAGCAGATCTTATTTGATCTGGGTGTGTTTTCTTTCCCCAATTATTTCTTCACCCACCAAGGTCAGCCTCAAAATCCTGCTGTGACTGCACATGTGGAGTGGGGCACGAAGCTCTGCTTTCATCTGATGCAGATGCTGCAGCCAAGGACTTATCAAAGGCACCCAAAAATAGGACTCTGATCCTGTTCTGTGGATGGAAACTACACACAAAACGAAATTCTGACTCCTCTTCTTCGTACCTGTCCTGAAAACCTGCAATGATTTATTTCATTACAGTGGCAATTAAAGGGAAACTTTCTGCAGGGCAAAGGTCAGGCAGTTATGGGTTTGTGAACAATAAATAACACAAAGGTCTGTGTTCACAAGCATGTAAAGATGTTTTCATGTCCTGCAACCACCCACGTGATCCAATTAAAAAAACAACTTTATGAGATAGAGAGCTGCCTCCCTTGTCTCTGTCCTGGGGTTAATCACCTTCCAAGTCAATCCAGCGGTATGCACTTATTTCCTTGGAGCACCTCATGATTTAAAAACATAAATAGGGAACTTCTGGTGGCTTCCCCAGGCCAGGTTTTAAACATGCCTTCAAGACACGACAACAGCACCCCAAAGACACTTCCCAGAGAGGAAGGTCTGGAGTGTGATTCATTTGCATGTTGGAAAACAACTGGGAAGAAAGAAACTACTGTGAGAGCAAAGTCTCATTCCACGCTGTCATTAGTGTGGAGAAGAACATACCAGAGGGATTAATGGAATGTTGATGACAACACATTGGTGCATGAAACACTCTGGGCTCGGGGAATATTAGGGACAATGCCAGAGGTGGAAGTGGGAGCTCTGGAATCCCTCCAGCATCCTTTGCTTCAGTCTCCAGGTTCACGTTTCTCATATTTGCAGACTTAGTAGGAATTCCTGTGTTAAAAACACACACACACAAAATAAACAAAATGGTTTAGCTGAGGAAAAAAACAGGTCCTGGGGTCAAAGGGTATAAAATTAGTCTGTGTTATCCTGTATGAGCTGCCCTGGGGAATTTATTGGGTGAAATACATGTAGGCTAATAGAGCATTCCAACAATACCTTGTTTTATACAGTGCTTTAAATCTCAAAGTATAATAATAATAATAATAATAATTTAAATGAAAGACTTCCTCCTGTTCTGCAAAATATTTGTAAACTGTGAGCTCAGATTAGATAAGAGGATGAATCAGTGTAAGAGATTAAAGCAAAACAGATCAACTATTGCTTCTGGTTTTGAAGCAGAACAGTTTTTCCTTGAAACATTTCATGTTCAAAAAGTCAAAACAACTCAAAGAAAAGGATTTGGTTTGTTAAACTTCACTAAATCAAATGATGTGGCCACAGGTGGGACTTGTGAACACTGTGTATGAAATATCCCGTTACTGTGATTGAAGTCTGAGAGAATCATGGAAAACGGGAGACATTCAAAATGAAACCACCATGAAATTAATTTATTTTTTTTTACAGCCCTCAGCAAACTGAAAACCCTAAAATCACAGAATCACAGCATGGTTTGAGTTGGAAGGGACCCACCACCTTCCACTAGACCAGGTTGCTCTGAGCTCCGTCCAACGTGACCTTGAAATTATCAACCAAATCAACCAAATATATAATCCCACTAAAATTAAACAGATATGCTTGAGCGAGATGTCTGAGGACACGATATTGTCCAGTCCTAACTGTAGGAAGAAACTGAAACTTTTAAAATGTATGCACGCTTTCAATTTTGATTTTTCACTTACGGGTAATGACATCACAGCCATTTATTTATTTCTCCTTCTTTGTTGATTCAACCTCCCCAAACCCGTGGCAGGAGAGCAAATCTAGACAACAGATTGGGAGGCTGAAACCAGTTCTATTAACCAAGAACTTTTTATTATATGGGCTACCAGTGCCCTCTGTTGGGTACCGGGGAGTGCTCGAGCACTGCAGGAATTACTCACATGGGAAATGCCTGCATTTTTTGGAGCAGTAATAAAAATCCTGCTCTTTTTATTTATTTATTTATTTTTGTAGGAAAAAAAAAAAGCCCATCCGTTTCCAACCCCCTGCCATGGGCAGGGACACCTTCCACTATCCCAGGTTGTTCCAAGCCTCATCCAACCTGGCCTTGGACACTTCCAGGGATGGAGCATCCACAGCTCCTCTGGGCAACCTGTGCCAGGGCCTGCCCACCCTCACAGGGAGGAATTCCTTCCCAAAATTCCATTTATTCCCGTTCTCTTGACAGTTTGAAGCCGGTCCCCCTCGTCCTGGCACTACGTGCTCTTGTGAACAACCCCTTCTCCATCCTTCACTTTACACACACTGGGAACTCGAGGAAAATATTCATATTTATATTAAAAATAAAAAACAAAACAAAAACAAACAAACAAACAAACAAACCCAAACAACCCACATGTGGCCAATTCCTCAGGAAAAACGAAGGTCAGACAACGCCGCGATCCCTCCCAAGTACAACACCGAGCTGGCCCTCGATGCTCCTCGGGGGCATCGGGATACCCCGATTCTATAAAGTTGTAAGGGAACAGACACGTCTAAGCACACGGGGCAAGGTTTTATCACTATTTATTTAACCGCGATTGGCTTTCTCGCCGCTCCCGGGGCTGCCAGAGCTCAGGGGGCGCTCGGACAACGCCCTCAGCGGGCAGGGTGGGACTGCTGCGGAGCCCCGTGCGGGGCCAGGGGCTCGGACTGTGAGCCCTGTGGGTCTCTCCTAACTCGGGATATTCTGCGATTGTGCGACTCGGAGCGGTAACGCTGTCGGGGTTTGTGCCGGGCCCCAGCCCGGGCTCCCCTCACGGCTCCGCGCCCGCCATGGCGGCCCCGGGAAGCGGAAAGGGCCGCGCGCCCCCGGCTCCTTCCCGGAAGCGCCGCCCGCGCCGCCATCTTGGCTGGGAGCCGTGAGGGGACCCCGGCCGGCCCTGCCCGCCCCGCCGCCATCGCGGCCCGTCCGCCCTCCGCCCGCGTCCCGCCCTCCGCCCGCCGGCTGGAGGGGCCGCCCGGGGCCTGGCGGGCACGGAGAGGTGAGCGGGGGCCGCCCCCGGCGGGACCGGCCGGCCGGCTGGCTGCCTCTTCCCCCCCCCCCGCCTCTGTCTGTCCCTCAGTCTCTCTTCCGCCTTCTCCCTCCATCCCTCAATCCCTCCATCCCTCAATCCCTCCCTCCTTCTCTCCTCCCTCCTTGTGTCCCCCTCACCTTGTCTTCTTTCCTCCTGCGCTTCTCCCGGGCCCGCTGTATTGCCCAGGTGAGAAATCGCCTTTGCGGTCGCAGCCCTTTTGTTTTCCGTTTTTAAGATCCAAATGTTCTCCCAGGTAAGGCTTTGAGGCGCGTTCAGATCCCACAGGAGCAGCACTTAAAGCGTTAAAATGTTTCGCTGTGTGTTCTCGCAGCACGTACTGAGGGCTTATTTCAAATTATTATTACTGCTACTGCTCCCAGTTTATTACTGAAAAACGTCAGAACAAATAATCGAGTCGGAGTAAAAAGATATTATTTAATTCATATTTCAAAGTCAAAGCTGGCTTCTCTGGGGGAAAAAAAATCTGAATTTTATGATTTCGAGAGGTGTGGCTTCAAAAAAAAAAGCTCTTGTGTTTTAAGCATTGATTTACAGCAGTTCTGACAAAAGGCGGGTTAAACGGGTTTATTCGGAGTAGAGGTGGAATATTTGACCACATACAACTGTTGCTCGTGGTTTAAATGGTATTTCTTTAATAAATCTTACTTGCCTGCTTGTTTGTAGAGAAGGAGTAGAAGGGGTTGTAGGAATTTAATATGTATTTCATGCCATATTGTGAGCATTGTCTTACCTCTTTATACATGTAAAATCTTTCCTTTTTATTCCGTGTTTAAAGCCAAGTAATTCCCTGAACTTCTTAGGGGAAAGTGAGTTAAACAGCAGTTGTTAATTAGTGTGTTCTGTAGGTTATAAGGGCTAATTCTTTCTTTGTCTTGCAAACACCGTGGAATTTCCTCCCCTCACCCTGACTTGTCTCCCTTTGGATGGGGTTTTATTTCCCTGGATGAGAATAATCAGGCTCAGGAGTTCCCTTCTGGAAATTCAGGCCTTAGCAGGCAGCAGATTTAATTCCAAGTCATTCACTTCCACATCAGCAACCAGATTATTGTGGTTTGTTGTTGTTTTGGGGTTTTTTTTGGGTAACTGGATGTGTAGGAGCACCAGGTGAATTTAAAACAGGGGTAAATTTGTGGAATGGGTATCAAAGCTGAACAGGGAAAATTAGTGACTCAAAAAGACCTTTAGAATAGAGAAGGATCGTCCAGTACAGATGTCTCTTGGGACTGTGTTGGTGAAGAACTTACCACTTAAAAAAGTGAAGGTAGTTCAATTTATATTTTAAATATAAAGTGGACTGTGCAAAAAGCAGTGTCCCATGAGCGACTGCAGCTCTGTGTCTATTAATACTGCATTTTTATATTTTCTTTTTTATTAGATGAGCAACAACAGTAATAAGAGAGCACCAACCACAGCGACCCAGAGGCTTAAACAAGACTACCTGAGAATTAAGAAAGACCCAGTGCCTTACATCTGTGCAGAGCCCCTCCCATCCAACATCCTCGAATGGTAAGAGTGGGAATCAGGACTGGGATCACTCGTGGAGAGAACAAGATTTTCCAGGTCATCAAGTCCGGCTCCCTCGCTCCTCAGTGTGGGGAGGTGGAGCAGGAAACTTGGGCTGAATGATTAGATCCTTGGGGTTTTTTTCAGGGATATTGGGGGCTGATTGTGTGCTGGCTCCACAGTGTTCCCATTCCCTTCTTTTCCCAGGCACTACGTTGTGAGGGGACCTGAAATGACGCCCTATGAAGGTAAAAGCTCGATTAAATGTGATTTAATGTTGGTTTGAATGGGCAAAACACAACTACCGAGAACAGCTCCAAAATCTGTCAGTGCAGTCTCAAAGCTGTCTGTGGGAAAGCCTGTTAAAAAGAGATGGTGATGCTGCTGTCAGCAATGTTTTTGTTATCAAGGGGTTCAATAAAATAAAACTGAGGTGAAGATGGTTGCTTAAGGTTTTGGAGCAGACAGCTCACTTTGGAGAGTATGTGACCAAGATAATTTCAGAAAGTCCCATTTTGTTAGCACAGAAATGTTCTTGGGGAACTGAGACATAACAGTTCTCTTTATGAATTTCTCTGGAGAAAGCTCGAAATGTAAAAGCCTTGTTCATTTGTTGTAGTCACGATGTCTCCTGGAGCCTCTCAGAAATGCTTCTTTGATTGGGATTGTGTTTGCACTTAAATTTCTGGGAAAAAATAACCCAGTTTATTGTAATAAATACACTTTGGCTGGTTTTCCTTCAGTGTATTCCAGACTTGACAGCAGCAAACAACTGTCTGTAAGAGAGAATGTGAGAGAATTGCCTCCAGAGTCAATCTGGTGCAGGTTTGGGTTATTATTGCCTTGTTTTAGAGGCTCAAGGTGAAGTGTTTGATCTCAGTGAGAGGGGAGAAGGAAGCAAGCCCAAGGGTTTATTTGGCCCATTTTGAGTAGCAGTTTAGGACTTAATCTTCATGCAAAATAAGTAACTCCTCTCTCTGTGTAATGCAGGTGGCTATTATCATGGGAAACTAATATTCCCCAGAGAATTCCCTTTTAAACCTCCTAGTATTTATATGATTACACCTAATGGAAGGTTTAAGTGTAACACAAGGTAAGGACCTTTCTCTAACACTTAAGCAATTAACACCATTTCAGCACTGTGCCTAATGTGTGATGTAATTTTAATGGCAACCCCAAACCTCTGGCTGTGTTTTTGAAGGTTGTGTCTTTCCATCACCGATTTCCACCCGGACACGTGGAATCCAGCTTGGTCAGTCTCCACGATCCTGACGGGCCTCCTTAGTTTCATGGTGGAAAAGGGCCCCACCCTGGGCAGCATAGAGACATCTGAGTTCACAGTGAGTTCAGAGGGGCTGGGGGACCTTGGGGCAGCTTTGGCAACGGGAAAACAGCAGCAGCAGCAGCTGGAATTTTGATATCTCAGAAATAAACACCGTGGTTGGGATTTTATTCCTCCTTCATTCCTCTTGGTGCGTCGGCCAAGCAGTCAGGCTGATACAAAACCCTAAATCCCACAGGGTGAAGAACTGAGAACATCATTGATGTCTGTAAATGTGTTGTAGTGAATAATGTTCACGAGTGTGATGTTGTAAATGATAGAAAGCAGTGGGCTGGGGGTTTGCACCCTTTCCTGGGGGAAATCAGGTGTTGAGTTGGAGGAAATTGAATTTCTGTGGAATGAATTTCTGAGGAATGAATTTCTGTGCAGCTGCTGATAACGTTTGTTTCCTCCACAGAAAAGACAACTCGCTGCACAAAGCTTAGCATTTAATTTAAAAGACAAAGTCTTCTGCGAGCTCTTCCCTGAAGTGGTGGAGGTAAGGGAATTCAATATTTTGGTTTTTTGGAGTTCTTCAGCTTCTCTGTGTAGCAAACTTAATTGTTTAGCTTCTCACTTGCAATCCTTTCAGATCACCAAAAGCTCCATGACTGTCAGAACACCCAAAGCTCTATGGCTTTCACTTCCAGTCCTTTCAGAGCACCCAAAGCTTCACGACTTTCACTTCCAACCACTGTTCTCTTTCTCCCTCCAGGAGATCAAACAAAAACAGAAAGCACAAGAAGAGCTCAACAGCAGACCTCCCTCGCTGCCCCTGCCCGACGTGGTGCCCGACGGGGACGCTCACTACGGCCAGAACGGGATCCCCCTCCTGAACGGGCACGTGGCCCTGGCCCCCGCCAACCCCCCGGGGCTGCAGCAGCCCAACCGCAACCACGGACTCTTGGGCGGAGCTCTGGCGAACTTGTTTGTCATCGTGGGCTTCGCAGCCTTTGCCTACACAGTGAAGTACGTGCTGAGGAGCATAGCCCAGGAGTGAGGAGAGCAAATAAACCCCGAGACCAAATTTGTAGCGCTAGTTGGCAACAGAGTGAGTGGGACTCTTTTTGGGGCATCTGGCTCTTGACGCCGGCAGAGAGGTTGGTTTTGGCGGGTGAAACCTTGGCTGGGCTCGTGGGAGTTTGGAGTAGTTTTGGTTAGGCAGAAACTTCGCTGCTCTCTGGTAGTTTCTCACACAAGTCAAAGCATTATTGATGAGACACTACATTTCTAGTGCTTTGATTTTTTTTTATAGCAGTTCTCCATCTGTCGTTGGAAATCGGGAAATCTCGAGCAAATAAGGCTTTTTACTTCATTGTACAATTTTTAAGACTCCACCATTTACTGCATATCACTTTATTTTCAGTAGGGAAGAGTCTGTCCAGGTGTTCAGTGATTCAAGTAGAGATTCCACGTGGACTTGGGAAGGGTTTGGTTAATGTGAACATTTGATGCTACAGAAAATTGCTGGTTTTTTTTTTTTTCCAACTAGAATGACCATCATTGCATATCTAGTCAGTAGTGATTAGATGAGTGGGAACATAACACCACAGTGTGTTAAATGTGTTGTCTAAATTGTCCCAACGTCACTGAAGGTTTTATTTGGGCTACAAGAAGTGCAGTTGTTGGCCTTCAGCAAGGGGGAAAAAAAAAAAAAAGCCTTGGAATCAGCCTCTAGTGGGAATTACCCATATCCAGGGTCATTTGGGATTTGTTCACTTACAGATTTTCATTCTGGGAGATGTTCTGTTGGAAAGTTGTAATAGTTCCTTCTGATCACAAGGGGGCCACTGGTGAAATAATAATAAAACTGCACCCACCAATGGAGAGAGTTGACTGTGTGTTCCAAAAATCTCTGCATTCCTTAGGCTGTGGGGATTGAGGAAACCCCAGCCCTCGGGAAGGGAAAAAGGAAAATGAGTCTCAGTAACAAACCAGCTTCCTCAGAGTCAGCTGAATCCATCTGAAGTGTCACTGCCTGAACTAACCCTTCAAATTAGTTCCACTTGCTCACTCTTAAAAAACCCACCACCACCAAAAGCCAACCCCAGCATTCACCTGGGATTCTGGAAGCTTTTAGCTGTCAGTTCCTCACTCTTCCCCTTCAGGTGTCTGACAAATGAAAGGCTGCTGTTTGTTCCCAGGCTCCCAGCACTGGGGGGGAAACGCTGAAGTCCAAAAGTCTGTCTGAAATTACTTTTTCTCCCTGCTGCTTGAATTTTCCCCAAAAGCTTTGCTCCAGCAGAGGCAAACTTGCTGTGCCTTTCAGAGCTGGCAGTGCTGCCTGGTCAGCTGGGGCAGGACACACTGTCAGTGCTACAACAACTGTCCCAGGTGGTGGCAGGGATGAAAGCTCTGCACTCACTGTATAGTCTTATTTTAAGTGTTCTAAAGAGCCCAAATAAATATTACCTCACGTGTCTAAGAATGTTTTGGAACTGTCTTATTTCCCCTTTCAGATTTTCTCTCTCTCAGCTTCTTGGTATCTTGAATTATAAGCAGAAATGTTCCTGTCAAGCCATGAGCCAACAGCTCAGAGCACCAGTAAAATGTGACCAATTCTCTGCAATAGGTAGGAATTACCAAAATTAGCAGAACAGCTCTTTGCTAAAGAAATCTTAAAGCAGTTCTTCCTGAGGTGAGGAAGGGAAGGAGTCAGGGTGTGCAAGGATAGGATTTGGAAAAGGCTGGATTTAAAGCGTATTTATAAAATCTTTGATTACTTTTTTATTATTATTATTCTAATTATTTTATGGTTTCACCAAATCTTATTTATAATAACTATTTTTTTTTCCCATTTACCTCTTGTATGTGCTTAATCCTAGAAACAAACTGTGGGTCTTGGGGGGGTGGAGGTGTGCTGGGCAGGAGGGGGCAGTGCCATGGCTTTCCTGCAGGGCTGGGATTTTGGGGATGGCTGATGGTTTTTTCTTGTGGCTCTTTGCACCCCTCAGACCCCTCTGTGTCCTTGCAATGCCTTTTTCCTGCCGTTGCCAGGCAGCAGCTTAGCTTGGTTATCCACGTTTATCTTCTCTTCTGGAAGTTCTTTATCCCCAAAAACCAAGGCAAAGGCAAGGAGACCTTGGGCAAGGGGGTGTTTGCAGCTTCTGTGACCTCACCAAGCTCAGAGAAAAGCAGCCAGAGATGGTGAATTAAAAGCTTTTTATTCCATGACAAGAAGTTGGCCTTGAGCTGCACCTGAGCACGTGAAGGTCGGTCTCTTGTCTGCAGGAAGTGCCACAATTAGAAACAAAACCCCCTTTGGTCAAACCCTGGACATGCTACTTTTTTTTTTTTTTTTTCCCTGAGAATTGGTTGTGTTTAAAACCCCAAATTTCCACAATTGCAGTTTTTCTCTGGAGTACTCTGGATCTGGAGAAAAAGACTTGCCAGCCACTCCAGGTGCCATTCATTGGAAGCTGGGAGCAATCCCTGTCCCCCTTGCAAGCATTTTGATCCGTCTCCTTGCCTTTGGCAACACCAGATTTATCCTTCTTTGTGTAGGTTTTACTGATTTATGGTTTTTTTAAAGAATTTCTAACAGTGCAGTATCTGATCTTATTGTCACCCAAGTCATTCGATGGAGGAGCCCAGGCAGAAATGTTCCCATGCCCTGAGCACTTCATTACTTGATGGAATCAAAATAAAATCTCTCCTTCCTTACATGATCTTGGAACAAATCTGGCCCTTGACTTGAAACATCTCTTGAGTTTATTATTAATATTTTTTTTTTTTTAAATTCTGGATTTTTGTGTAGTCATCACCTTCCTTTCCTCCCCTCCCTGAGATTTCAAGGCCATGGAGGTTCCCTTGCTAAGGAGCGTGTACTGAGGAGTGGGAATGACTGCATTGTAATGTTTGTTCATAATAAACATTCATGAGAAAACCGATGCTTCCTGTGGGACTTTTTGGGAAAGGGAGGAAACTGGAATGGGGATATGGATGGTGTTTTCTCCAGCAGAGCAAACTCATCATTTGTAATTACAAATTGTAAGAACCTCGTGCTTCTCGAGGTGTTTTTTGACCGTCTCTGAATAATTTTGGCCCATTAGTGGCTTATTTTGTGACCCACTCAGGGAGGCAAACACTGAACAAGGTGATCCTTCCTTTGCAGCAAAGCAGGAAAATCGTGTTTTCAGTGGAAAAATCGCACGAAAGGGAGTCTGTGGAGCAGGAACTCATTGAAAAGGTTTTCTGGGCAAGGCAAGAGGATGGTTCATGAGGGATTATTGGGAATTTTATCAGCGGGAAAAGCTTTGCCCCAACAGGGTTATTTCCCACCTGGTCGCTGCGAGAGGAACCCTTGGAGGAGCAGCTAGTGGGGGGGGGGGGTTCCCAGTTTTTTTCCAAGTGTTTTGGCGTTTCCGTGGATTTGCCACCAGATGGCGAAGCGATCCCGCGCGGGTCGGGATCCAGCGGGCCGGGAATGCGGGGCTGGAGAGGCTCTGGCATGCAGGGTGCTGCAGCTCCCACCGCAAACCCCGGGTGCGCCTTCCCAAAGCTGCTCCTTTGTTCCTTGGTGTGTCCAGCTTTGTTCCAACAGCTTCAGGAATCGTGGAATATCCTGAGCTGGAAGGGACCCACAAGGATCATCCAGTCCAACCCCTGGCCCTGCACAGACAGCCCAACAATCCCACCCTGTCCCTGAGGGCGTTGTCCAAACCCTCCTGGAGCTCTGGCAGCCCCAGGCCGTGCCCAAACCCTGGGGAGCCTGTGTACATTAATCAACAGCCCGAGGTTATGTTGGATTATCACCGAATCCCAGAATGGTTTGGGTGGGAAGGACCTTAAAGCTCATCCAGTTCCACCCAGGGACACCTTCCACTATCCCAGGTTGCTCCAACCTGGCCTTGGACACTTCCAGGGCTGGGGCAGCCACAGCTTCTCTGGGCAACCTGTGCCAGGGCCTGCCCACTCTCCCAGGGAAGGATTCCTTCCAGGCTCCAGACTTTTATCTGGGATGAAGCAGGAATGGAGGGGGGGGCGTGTCAGCCACTGTATTGGCTTCAAAAATCCCCATCTCTGTGCCAGGGCTCAGGAGCTGTTCCTTTTATCTACAACAGATAACTGGGGGAATCCCAGCATTTGCCCTTTTGCCCTTTGGATATTATTCCTGGCACAGCCAGGTGAGGCCTATCTTGAGTGAAATCACATCAGTGCAGATTGAAAGATCAGATCAGAAGTTCCTTGCCTGACTCTTTGGTTCCCTCTCTGGCTCTGGGCACACTTACAGTGTTTGCAAACACCCTCTTTGGGTTCTTGCACAGTTTGGAAATCTTAACGTGGCTTCTTACAACATCTTCCCTGCTTCCAAACTTTCCTCGTGCAGGACTGATGGTGTTATGTTCTTAATTATTCCTGGTAGTGCTGCAGGGGTGCTGAGCTCCAGGGAGAAACTGTTTGGCCTTTCATGGAATCGTTCAGGTTGGAAAAGACCTTGAAGATCACCAGGTCCAGCTGTCCACGCAGCACCACCCTGGTCACCGCTAAACCACATCCCCATGGGCCACATCCACGAGGTTCTTGAATATTTCCAGGGATGGTGATTCCACCCTTTCCCTGTTCCAAAGCCTGACAACCCTTTTCCATGAAAAAAAATGTCCCTGATATCCACCTAAACCTCCCCTGAGGCCAATTCCTCTCATCCTGTCACTTGTCACCTGGGAGAAGAGCCCGACCCCACCTGGCTGCATCCTCCTGTCAGGGAGTTGGAGAGCTCCTTCCCAGTTCCTCTGATGTCACCACAATGTCCCCAACGTCCCCAGCCCCTCCTGGCTGCCCAGAGCCACCTCTCCAGGTGCCACCACCTCCCACCACGTCACTGCCCCATCACTGTCCCTGTGCCACCACCTTCTCAGAGCTCTCTGAGGGTGCCACCACGGTGTCACCACAATGTCCCCAAGACCCCCAGACCCTCCTGGCTGCCCAGGGCCACCCCTGTGTGTGCCACCACGTCATTGTCTCACGTTTATAGCCGAAACCAGCAATATCTTCACCTTGGATTAGTCGGGATTGATTCCCCCCCAGTCCGAGGAGCTGCTGCCAGGCTGGGGAAGGGGCTGGCAGAGCTGGGAGCTGCAGCCCAGCCCAGTTAAGCCCAGCCTGGTTAAACCCAGCCCAGCCCAGCCCAGCCCAGCCCTGGCTGTCCCTGCCTGCCGTGGTGTGTGGAGCTGTCAGGCTGTTTAGCTGGGATATGACAGATTGTCCTATTAATGTGTCATCAAGTGCACTTTTACAAATTCATGGCTTGTCTACAACTAACCTGAAAAAAAAGAGGCTTAAGTATGAGAAGGCGCCAAAGAAAGTTAAATATTATTAACAAATAAAGTCTGCCACGTAGTTTTGATGGAATGTGAGCTGGCTGGGGGGAGATGTGCTGTTAACTCTTGAGCTGCTGGGTAACGTCCCTTCTAACTTTGTTCTCTTTCCTAAACCCCATTTCTCCCCAAAGATGCTGTAAAAACATTTAAAAATCCGGGCTCTACTCGTTGATTTTTGCCAGCTCGGGTTGTTTGTGCCTCAGTTTCCCTGAGCCCTATTAATAGAACTTTGCCTCAGAGCCACCAATCTTTATTCTGCCTCTGGATTTTTGCAGCTCAGGTTGTTTGTGCCTCAGTTTCCCTGAGCTTTGCTCCTGGCTGCAAAATCCAACAGTTGTGACTTGGATTACAGAAGTTATGGTCGAGGAACTGCCAAAATAAAGCAAAATCTCTCGCTTGCTGGCTGCACAAAGGACTTCAAGCTGATCTTCAACCTTTTATCATTCCTGGGCTTTCTCACGGCGCAGCCTCAGGGGGATCTTTGCAAGTAGGAAAATCTCTGCAGGAAGAACAGGACTATCTGTTCTGGGAGGTGGGGGACTGGTGCAGCTTTGCAGTGTCCACGAACATCAAGATCCCCTCCTGAAGTGCTGGGGAACCTTTGAGTTTCTAGGATTTTTAACAGACAGCCCCCCCTGACCAACCTTTAATGGGAGCTGGGGGGAAAATAGGGAAGAGATTGGGAAACCAGGCAGGATTCTGGTTATCCTGGTGTGTGATGCCGGGTGCTTATTCCAAGCCACATATTTTCAGCTCCACCACACGCTCCTGTGCAGCTTTACAAACTTCCCAGAAAAATGGTGATTTCTCCGAGATAATGAAGGGGAGGGACAGAGCAGGGCTGAGGGGAGGGAGCAGGGAATGGGCACTGATTTAAATCTGCCTGGCACACGGGCCAGCTCCACTTATCAGGGAGTCTAATAGGAATGTGAAGAGAATAGGCTTGACAGCTCATTAGAATGTGATCCCTCCTCCTTTTTTTTTTTCTTTTCTTTCCTTTTTTTTTCTTTCCTCTTCTTTTCCTTTCCTTGAAGTTGATGGAAACTCATTCAGGAACGAAGGACTTCTTTGCCGAGGTGAGGAGGGAGCTGAGGAGGGTTTTGCCAACGTGCAGCCGGGGAAAGGAGCGGCAGGAGGGATCAGACGCTCCGAGGCACCTGAAATCCTGCCCGAGGCACCTGAAATCCTGCCCGCTGTGAGGGGGAGATGAGGATGCGAAAGCCACGAGGTCCTGCACCCTGACAGCTGCTGCTCATCGTCCCAGGGAAGAGAAACTCAGCTAAAGAGGGAGGCAAACCACCCTTGGGGAAACTTTGCCTGCTCCCAGGGGACCCGGGGACATCCTCAGAGTGTTTGTTTCTCCTTGTTTTGTGTTTAATGGTTATGAGAAGTCTCTCTGCTCCCGACAAGGCTGAGCTGTGATGCTTCCAGCCCCTCCAGAGGAGTGCTGGCTGTAGCACCATTGGATTACAGTTCCCCAGCACCCTGGAAGGGCAGGATGAGGACTTGTCACTGAGGGAGGGGGAAGGATCATCCCAGAGGGAACGGATGGAACGCATCCCAACCTGCTCTGAACGGAACACGGTGCTTCCAGTGACAGCAAGTGGGACCTCCTGGTGAAGAGGAACAACCAGAGCACCCCCTGATGAGTTTGTGTTGTCAGCTCTGGCCTGAGCAACTGTTGCCCAGAGCACTTTGACTTCTCATAGTTGAGTGCATCTAAAATAAGTCTGAAGACTTATCTGGGGGGTGGGTAAAGGGGAGAGCAACGCTTCAAGGTGGGTGGCAGGACTTTTCAGGGCCTCTTGTATTTATGGAAAGCTCCCAGAGGCTGAATGGACTTACCTCCTTCTCCGAGTGAATCCAGATTTTAAACAAGTTTATCTGTACCATTTCCATGTGCTCTGCTTGAACAGAGACCTCTCAGCAACCAGCACACCCAACTCTTGCTGCCCATCTGACATTGCACAGCCCAGAGGATCTCCTTTAGCACTTCTGACCCTGTTAAGTTTTTTATTTTTGTAAGAGAGGAGTCTGTTCCTTTATTGGTGGTGAAGGTTTTTCCCCCCCTCCCCTCCCTCCGTGCTTGGACTTGGCCCCTCCCTCCCTTCCCAAAATGAAGGGGTGCACCTGGGTGTTTGTGGCAACTTTACTCTGTCAGCAGTTTTGCCTCTTCAGGGTTTCAGCAGCAAAGAGAGAGAGGAAGGTGAAGAAAGAACCCAATCAGTACACAGAGCCCTTCAACACCACCCTGTCCAACAGCGAGGAGCTGCACGGGCATCCCAAGGTGGGTGTTTGAGCCTTGCCAGAGCTTATTCCTGCCAGCAGAGCGGGGCTGGCTCCTCTTCCCAGGGATTTAAGGCAATCTTGCTAAAATGCTGTTTGATTTTAGAGAGGAACGTTCCTTTTTTTTTTTTTTTTTCTTTTCTTTTTGCCTTTGCATGATTGATTTTCTGGCTTCGCTGGAGCAAACACTGGAATACTGCAATTTATGGTTGTTTTGGAACACGCATGACTGAAGCTCCAGTGCCTTTGTAGCTGGTTAAGGGTAAAGACAGTTTAGAGCTCTG